GGGGGGGGGGGGGACCAAATATCCCATCCGGGGACGTTGCTGTGTGAGAATTAGCGCATCCGTTCTGGCTACTTTTCAAACTGTCGCATATCTTCCGTGCTTTGGATTGAAAGACTTCAACATTGGTGAAAAAATCACCATCCAAAGTCAACAAGTAGCCTCAGCTGGACCGTCTCCAGCTAGATTGTCTTCGGGATCGTCCAACGGAAATCGAAGACTAGAGAAAACATTCTAAAGAGCGTCAGATGCAACGAGAAAACAGCATCAAATCGTCTGAAATCGCTGGAGAGACTTTCATTTGCTGCCTATAGCGACATTTTTCTTTAAAAACCGACCATTTCTATCGACGTTATTCGAAAATTAGCAAAGAAGGCTCAACGGAACCGGAGGTGTCCACTGGACGGGCCGGGTTCATCTTACATGAACAGGTAAACAAACTGTCTGTCAAGCGGAGGTCATAATTATTGAATACTAACGAAAAACGGCACTTTCGTTTCCATTTCGCTGCATGTTTGCAGGGTGATGCTAACAATGTGGAAATGGTGATGAACCACGAATTAAACCCTACATTTCCAAGACTAAACTACAGTCAACGCAATGACGGAACCACGATTCTTCCGAGATCAAATAAGTCAAAACACAGTGGGCAACAGAACAGGTCATGTCCAGACTGTTAGAAACTCAGTAAAGTGCTGTGATAACATATCTTTCACTGAGATCAACTGCAAACTGGAAATGTCACTATGTCCTTTCTTGCTGATCATAGGAGGCACTGAAAGAAAAGCGGAGAATGGTCTGGCTCCATCTGGCTCTAGCAATGTTGTGGAATGTAGGTAGATCGGGTGCGCTGTTTGTTTGCTGGTCTGTTCGCCGAGCTTGGCAGTTGGATTGCAAACGTTTCATCACCAATCGAGGTGACATCGTCAGTGCAGGGTTGAGTGGGTGGATTCCTCCTCTTCTGCCTGTGATTATATAGCTTCTAAGCAGTATCTGGTATTTCTGGAAACGGCCGTCGTGTAGTTTCATCTGGCTCTTCAGAATTTCAAAAAGGTGCTTGTAAAGACAACTCTCGGCCAGTGCAGAGCTGATTACATCAACGGTGCGGTAGTTTGGCGACCATTTATTAGAAGTTTTCCCAGGGTAACTACGGGAACGAAGCACCAGGTGCCCTGAACTGCTGGGTGAATGTATAGGCCAGTCCATACTGTTCGTGATTCTAGGTCATCGCCTTCTGGTAGGATTAAGAACTTTCGGCTTTCTCATACATTCGTAGCTTTCTGCAACACCATCATCCACCGACTTACGTCTACCAATAGGCGTTCTGGCCCGGGGACCCAACCACATGGTCATGATCTCAAACTACTGAAGTCGAAGGATCTGCTGAAAGTCACGCAGTGATTTACCTTGTTGTGTTTGACCACGATAATCTGGCTGGCTTTCCAAACGAGTTTTTATTTTTAGTTGTTGACGGTTCTGGAATGTTGTGCACCGAAATTGACCGTAAAAGGAATTGTCACTAGGATGTTCCACATACAATCCGTCAGCTAGCTCTAATAACATGTTGTGTTCATATACTGATGATGGCTTATCCGCAAGTGCGCATCTCCAACAAGAACAGGGTAGTCATGCTCGTAAAGCAATTCATGTAATCCTGGTGATGTCCACTTTCAACAGAGGTTCAGGTAGATAAAGTTGCTTTAAGATCATTCCGTAACTTCTGAGAACGCCACGTAATGATCTGTGGATCCTGCGCATGGAAAATCAAAGGTGATCCTGAATTTGCTGAACAACATCATCAAACGAGGTATGTTTAATTCTGAACCAGTAAAATCAAAAGGGAATGTGGAAAACGAGTATGGGGCGTTAGTAACGTTTCTTCTAAAAACTCTGGGATACAAGATAGGCGATCAATTGAATCAGCATTCTTGAGTACTCGTAATTATATACTTGATATCAGATTTGTAACCATCTTCATTAGTAGATTATTCATTAATTTTTTTTACCAAGTACTTGTCTCCCTGTTCACTTTATTGGACACTGCGATGAACCCTCGAGACTGCATAGCGTTTCTGTTTCAAGCGAACGACGAGCAGACACACTGCCTTGATCAAGTCCTGACCACAATCCGAGTTTGGACATCACAAACGAGCGATTCAGCTGGATTTCAGGTGAGTCCTCCGGAAAACCGAATTTGTTTTAGTGTATTTCACTAATTTCGTGCAGTTCAGGTTCAAGTAGAACATAAGATTGACGAAAACTCGGGGACTGCGCCAACCTGATGAGCCCCAAGAAGAGCAAAACCGGTCGTGGGCTGTTGAAGAATTTTCATCAACCTTATTAGCAGTGTGTTACATCTATAGAAAAGCTTCTTTTGCCCCGCCAAACTTACCTCGCGCGTTGACGACACATATGCTGGTAATCCCCACAATTTCTTGAGTGCATAAACGTTTCGGTTCATTCTGATGGACACCACAAAATCTTCCAAATCGTTGGCGGCTGCAGTCCAAAAACTGAGTTGCCAACAGGTTGCTGGAATATTCCGGTTTGGACAAACTTTTGAAAACCAAGAAGAAAACGGCACCTTCGTGTGATACAACTGACTCTTGGTGTCCAGAATAGAATCTTTGCACTTCAAAAGGGAATATTCCGGTTTGGACAAACTTTTGAACACCAAGACGAAAACAGCACCTTCGTGTGGTACAACTGACTCTTGGTGTCCAGAACAGAATCTTGGCACTCAAAACTCATCCGCCTACCCGGTATGTCATAACCACCGGCAGTGCCATAATATTTCCAAAGCTTAACGCTAACACCACCGATAAAACGGCACAGATTTTATTGTTGAGCACGGATTGAAAGGAAAGAAAACATCCGTACAATAAGAGAACGTTGTCCTCGAAACTTCTCAAAAGTACTCTTTTTGATGACTATGAAGCGTGAGTCGAAATCCCGTGTAAGATAATCAACCAACTGCTCACCAACAGATCTGTGTTTACACGGATGTCCCGAGAATGGCTATTCTGATAATGTCAGGTTACACTTCACGGTGTTATAAATGTCCAAACACATATGCCATGAGTGCATCTGTAAGCCACCTAACTTGCACTTGTGCGTAATATAAAGACGATTCTGAATTTCGATGAATTCTGGGAGTTCTTCCAAGTTATCCATCGGGTTCCCGGCCAACATTTGTTGTATGAAACTGAGTACTGTACGATACAAAGTTGAGGAGATGAACTGAGAATTTCATTGCGTTAGACAGTCGTCAATCCTTATATTGAGCTCCCTCGTCGACCAAGATGAAGTCAGCATCTTATATATCCGAATAAGTGAGCATCTGAACAAAGCAGAAACACACAAACTTGCTCAAAAGGGAAAATCCCTCGGGAATATGATTCATGCTAAGGTTTACCGGTCGAATTTCTTCTACCAACTGCTGTGTTTGATAAAAAATGCCAAAATTCTTCCAGAAGAAGAAAACGTTAGCAGTGCTGTCCCTAAAAAAAGACGTGAAATCTATCTGGACACCTGCCTGAGAGCGGTATCGACTACTTATTCATTAAACTACTCCTGCACTGTATGAAAAGATATATATTGTGCCGACCCAGGGCAGATATGGATTGATTTCTCCCTGGTCACGTCTATATTGTCCAAAAGTTTTGACTATGTTTGTATTTAAAACTCAACTTTATGTTCTTGCATTGGTGTTTGTGCGGCATAGGTCGCATTTTTGAAGAACCTCATTTGTTCAGTTGTGAAAGTTAACGGCATGTCTGGTAGTTCGCTACTTCTCAACGGTAAGTAGGAACGCCCACATTTGTTTGCTCCGAAGAAATCTCTAGGCATTTACTCCGCTTAACTGTCTGGCTCATGACGATAGCGTCGTTCTGAGTAACAGCATTGGTTAATGCAGACCACTCTCTGGACTATGAACCAACATACTCAATGTGAAGTATACTAATACAGGTCCGGTTGAAATAGATCCGAAGCACTGCCTAGCGAAATAATAAACCAGCCGTCAGTACCAGGAGTGAATGAATGATCCTCTATTGCGAGGCTCAGAAATCAACCTAACCGGGAAGTTCCGCTTATACATAGTGACCAGCCAGCCAGTCTAGCATATGTACTTGAAATCTGACCTCCAGATGACAGCCACACACGGTTACCGCAGTTCGACGCGGTAATAACGTCAACATCAAAAGTACAATCATCATCATCATCATCATCATCATCATCATCATCATCATAATCATTATCATCATCATCACCATCGTCA